AATCTGTTGGAAACATAGATTGTGCTGTGCTTCAAGGATAGCTTTACTGTCTTTAGTACTGCGACTTCCTTCTTTGGTACAAATACCAGATTTTAACTTGTTCTTCAACGGTTTCAATTCTCTTTCTCGATGCTTGCGTCTTGTCGCAACTTGATTTTTGTTCTTATTGGCAGAACTGCCACTCCTGCTCAAAGGCCATTCTCTTGGTCTCTTTGGAACTTGAGAAAGGTTCAGCCCAGACATTGTAGCTTGCGCATACGTTTGCCCAGATCGAGTGACTTTTGCTACTTGAGGCATTTCAGGCTCAAATACAATCTCTTCTTCTGGCGGCTCTTGTAGGTCCTCCAGATCAGTAACAAGGCTCCCAATATCATCGGCTCCTCTATCGACATTTTCTTGATGGTGATCCAAATTGGCCACAATAGGTTCTTCCTCTTCGTCGCCTTCATCACCTGAATCGTCGTCTGATTCATAGTCATCATCTCCTTGGAATCTGACAGTGAGTTCTGGCATATCATCGACATCATTGTCTGCATCTGCCAAGAGCTCTTCTCTTTTGGAGTCATTGATATCATCGAATTGTCCACATAGATTGAAATCACGTTCATCATCTTCAGGTTCATAGTCCTGATCAAAGGCTTCTTCTAAGTAACCTTGTTCCGTGTCATCCACTCCTGCAATTTGATTGCCATCTTGAAATGTCTCCAAATCTCTCTTCTTATCGAAGAACTTCATGGAAGTAACACCCTTGGCAGCAGCCCAAGCTTCAACACGCTGGATTACTTGATCGGTAACGGGTAGTACAACAACCTTGGGTCGGGAAATCATCTTCTTAGTATTGAGGTTGAGCACTCGGTGCCCAGTACGTTGTCCCTTCGTAGGTTCAATGTAAATTGCTTCGATACTTCGGGGTTCCATCGAATTGTTGGAATCCGTCCCAATTGCATGAACATATTGTCCAAGTTCAGCAACCATGTCACTCTTGTAGTTGATATTGACATTATCAATGAGTTGCTGCGGACTGAAATGTGATGAGATACTGTCTTTCTGGGGAAAGACATTCAATAGCTTGGCGGCTTGACGTCCAAGACATTCAGTGATCACTTTTGGGACCACTTTGTAGGGTAATTGTGCAAGAGCTACTCTTACTCTTTCTTTCAGCGTCCTATTGTTTCGCTCAGCGGTAGGCTCGTGGTCTCCAGCTGCAGTCGGGTCAATAGTAACACCCATATCGTCTATCATATCATCCGTGAGAGGAATGAACGCCCGGTCACACTTGATGATCTTGACTTGAAAGCCTGCCTTGTTGTAGCAGCGGAATATCTTATCCAATGCTTCGAATACAGGGTCAGCCTTCAGGTTCTGCATGGGAATACATGAGCAATATTGCACAGTGGTATCAATGCAGGTGAGAAACTTAGCATTCTTGATCTCCATGTGATCAATACAGACGGTAATAGATCGATTGTGCTGATATAATTCCTCTGGTGGACTGAAGAAGTTGTCGTACGTCTTCTTCCGACTTGGTCGTGTTGACTTGCCTTTCAATGTAGAGGCGTCAGGTCCAAAGATTGCTTTGGCATGATTGATCGCTTCTTTGGTGATAGGACAGTTCTTGATGAGACCAGATCGGATCGCATACTTCAGACTTTTGGTGCTTGGAGCATTGAGTATGTCCATTGCACTTCTCGCTTCCATCGCAGCCTTGACTTGTCTTGGAGTGCTTGAAGTTCGACATTTGTTGTACCAGCAGGACATGGAATAAGATAGACATTATAGCCATTCTCATCCTTTCCCTTGATAGCACCTTTACCTTTATTAGGTTGGTCTTTTCCTTGGTAGAGGTTCACTCCCGGATTTTTACTCACTTTCATGTGAATCTTCAACATATCTTGTGCTTTGCTGACCGTCTTTGGATAGTAATCCACTTCTCTGCAATAGATTGTCTGAAGATCCAGCATCAGAGGAGCTGTTCTCGTTCGATTGCAGTTGCATAGAAATCCTGTTGCAAGAACGGCTTCAAAGATATCATCCTTGAACTTGTTTTGAGCAGCAGTATTGGTGCTAGCAATAGCAGTATACGCTTTCGTCTTGACTGCAAAATCTCGGAACCAGGCCATGCCATATAGATCTTGCAGGACTTCAGCCTGTCTCAAGAATCGTTCCTTGAAATGCATCAAGTTTTTGGTTGTTCCTTGCTTCATAGCAAAGAAATTTTGATTCGCTTCCCAGAAATCCAAGAAATCATACTCAGCATCAGCCCTCTTCTTCATGAATCGTTCAATACGTTTCAAGAGTCCTATCAGATCTCAAGAGTAGTCGTGAAATCGGCTTCACCTCAAAGCTTGATATCCATTGCCTTCCTCACAAACTTCAGCATGATGTTTGATTTGACAGTTCTCTTGTTTGTCTCGAAGTAGTCTGATCTTTGCATGTTCTCATCGAGCTTTGCAGAATAGAGAATCTTGTTTTGGTCCATCTCTGTTTCTCTTGCAACAGCTTCAGTTTGAGTTGGAGTGTTCAATCTTGGAGCAATTGCATTGAAGTCAATCGACTTCCTATTGCACATTGATCTTGCCATGTCTTTGGAGCACTTCATACCAGAAGCTTGGATGTAATCAATCACTCTCTCTTTGGGGACGCTGAAAGAAAGAGTCAGAGTAGCCTCTTGCACAATTACCGGTCCCAAAGGTGATCACTGAATGTCTTGGAGCGATCGCATTGAAGTCGATCAACTTTCCATCTCAAATTGATTTCACCATGTCTTCGGAACATTTCATTCCAGAAGCTTGGATATAGTCAATCACTCTTTCTTTGGCATCTTTGTACGACAATCTTGCCTTTCCATCGTTTTCATCTTTTGTTCAAAATAGATGTTTCACAACTGTTGAACTTGAATTGCTCTTGACTTTCTGAGGAGTCACACGTCCTCTTCCACCACAGGATGAAGAACGTCCCATCGTCAACGAATCACTCACTATACTTTGAGTGAAATTGTTCCTATTTGATTAATATTTGGCTTGAATTGATGATTCAATCACAAAAGTAAGTTCAACAATTTTCCCTTGGAAAATCCCTTGTTTACAGAACTTGATTCGACCTCTATGACAATTCTGTGTTGGATGCAGTACTTTGGGACATCTTGTATTATTCCCTACTGCATTGTACACAACACCGATATCACACTTCATTCCCTTTTTGTGTGGATGTAGATTGTCCGACAGACTTGTGTCCGGCATACTTTTGTCAAATCCCGACATCACGATCAAAGTCCGATCGTACGTGTCGAAAACTTTATACTTGAATAGTTTCTTTTTGGAATGTAAAAACTCATATTTCGTCATATCCCAACAGCCTTTCCCTAGAAAGACAGTATCTCATCACATTTTCAGTCCGCAGCAAATCATTGATAACTTCAATATCAACTACAGTATGTTCATGCAATTGGAACGAATTCCAACAATTGATTTGGAAGATTTTCACTGCTTTACCTCCCCAACCATTTTTATTTTTTGTTATTATGCATCTTTAACGTGTTTAGAAGTGGTGTCTGCAAACAAATTCAGATGATGGAAACGGAGATTTGTTGTCATCATTGTCTGGTACACGTGTACATCAGTCAAAAAAAATTACAAAGGCCTTTGGGAAAATGAAAGTACTTTCTTAGGCCCATTTGGTGACATGGCTTGCTAGACTAGTATTCTACCCCGTTTTTGTTGTTGCAGAATTTTGAAAGATTTCAGTACGGTAGGTCTGAAAGTTGTGACAACTGGTGATTTATGGAAGGTACATCTGCAACCATGGCCAAGACGATTGTGTTGATAACCATTATATGCTTTACACAGCTCCGAACGGCGTGCGGAAACCGAGTATCAGGATTCTCAAATACCGGTTCATACTATGTTCGGCCGGCAAACAAAGTAATGCGAGTTTCCACAATAAAATCGAATCGCAACATTATGGACGCGTATAATCCAAGAAACCGAAAATCTCTCGCGAATTTCAGATCGTCTAATTCAGTTCTGTCATTATTAGACTGTATTGAGCCGCCAAAACAAGCGACAGCTGCCCCGCTGTTGAAAAGCCTAGCAACGGCTTCTCCAATTGCAGTAACAATCAAGAGTGCCTTTGAGAGCACTCACAAAATTGCTTTTCAAACAACCCAACCGACGGTCCTGACCACGATGGCACCAGTGCAACCGACGGCGATGACCACGATGGCACCATTGCAACCAACAGTGGCTAGCCCTGATCTGGATACTCCAGTCAGTCCCCATGTTGATGTTCTATTTAGCATCAAAAGCTTAAGCAAAACGGGAGTTTCAAGTATAAAAAGTTCAATCCGCAGACGATGGAATCCATGGACAAGAAATACATATTATCCAAGATATCGCAAATCGTTGTTGCAAACGAGGGATCCACTTGGTACTCTACAACCCCGCCCGCAATACGTTGGGTCAAGGCAGATTGTCATCAACCATACCAAGTCGCCTCACAGGCCGGCACTTCTCAAAAGTTTGATGAGGAAACCGCCGAAGGGAGTCCTCATTCGGAACACCCTTGGGCCTATTAACTTAGAGAAGAGAACCGTTGGCCCACGAGCCGCAGGACATTTCGATAGACCCAGCACCATGCCGCCTAGAGAAAGGGTAATAGAAAGTACTCAGGCTCCTGTGAATCCATTCCCACGAATCAGAAGATCAGGGTATTTCACTGTTGCTCCAAAGGCCCCTGTGAAGATCACTTCAGTCCCTGTTCCCCAGTTGACTGCAATGCCAGTTGCAGCTCCAACTTGGGCGCCATTCCCAAGGTACAGGCGATCACGTGCTTGCATAGTACTAAGCAGTGCACCTCTATCAAAGAACAGCTATGCCCCAATTTTTAAAGGAATCTGGCAGTCGAAAACTTTCTCACCTCAAATCGATGTCGAGACAAATAGTGCTCCTCTGGTTTCCCCACTGATTGCAATCACAGCGACAAATTCTCCATTTATTTCAGCCACTGGGATCCCTTCGCATGGTTTGAATGTTACAGGAGATAGTCAACAGCAAAAACTGATCACACTCCCAAAGCGACGTCAACGGAAGCTTCTTGATGAAAATAAGCTTGAAGCCTAATATTTGAAGCAGGTCAGCACAAGCGATAAATTGGCTTGGCTAGGTGCCGCTCCAATGGCGAAAAATAATGAATGGAAGCAAAACAGTTTTTATGTTCATCCAGTTCAGCATGGTCCATGGACACCAAATTTGGGCAGCAAAGATAATCAAAAGAGCGATAGAAGAAATTTCCTGTCTATTATACCCTGGCTGGAAAGAATGTTCAAACTTCTAAAATTGAACTGGTTAGTTTTGGAAATGATGAGACAGAAGTTGCATCCAGCACATTCACGTTTGCTCACTCTTGGTGGCTCTTCTCACGGCTGGAATCATCCTCTTCTTGTGTTATTGCCAAACACATCAATCGGTCACTGGCCATGCAAGGTACCTCGGCAAGGTCTCTGCATACTGGCCACTACTGTAATGAGTGTGATGAGCTAGTGGGGACCAAGGCGCTAGAGTAGGATCACTCCAAATTGTTCCGTGATAGAGGATATCACTGACAAAGATCTGGAAATGGCTTATGACCTACTGGTTACATGCAAGCAAATGCTCACTCCCATAGAGTTCTTGGACATCACTTGGGACATATCTTTGGCCTGCAAAGTCTTGCAATTAGTGATTGACAAAATCAAGGTTCATGCCAACAGTGAGGAGCATTTCTGAAGTGAAGGACAAATACGGTCAGTGGGAGAGATCAGCTTTCAAAGAACATCACTGCAACATTGGGCAGACATCAGGTTTCTGGAGTAATCAGAGCTAAAGCTTGAGAAGGCTTTTTGAAATAGTTTCTGGTCTCCAAAGTTTGTGGTTGACCAGCAAGGGTTGGATTGCCCATTGTCAAAAGATCCATGGTTTTGTATATGATATTTGCAGTGCAATTCTATTAACGGTCCGTCTGCCGCTCAAGAAGCCCATTTCATACTATTTTGGCGGGAGGCCCATCTTCTAAAATCACACATAGACCTAAAATAAAGATTTTCCCCATGCAAATGTCTTAGCTTAGGTCCTTATCTTGTATCCTATCAGATGGGGCTGTTATCATTATGCTCAGGGAAGTCACTGTAGTTGCCACTAGGACTGTGGTTGTTGGGATATGACGAAATATGAGTTTTTACGTTCCGAAAAGAAACTATTCAAGTACGAAGTTTTCGACACGTACGATCGGACTTTGATCGTGATGTCGGGATTCGCCGCAAGTATGCCGGACGCA